TAGTCCAGTTTAATTTGCAGTGACACAAACAATGAAGTATTCCCTTTGAAAAATTAGTCATCATTCTATGAGACTTAGATATGGAGAGACGCCTCTATGCATGGACTCACCAAGTATTCCTCCAAGTAGCCTCATCCCATCGTGCATTTTCTTACTGTTAAATCATCCTAAGAAACTTTTCCCTTCTATTGGTGATAAGCCTACATTTTTCTAAATTGTCTTGATTCTCTTGGCTGTCAACTGATCCATTCATAATGATTTTCTTTGTGTATTTAGTCCACGTGCTTATCCAAATTCGCCTGGAGTATTCCTGAGAAAAACAACAAAAACAAGTCACATACTTCTGGATTTGTTTGGCTGCCATAGTGCAGCTCCTGCGATTATTCATGAATAATTTTGTGTCTACTGTTGTGCCAGGCCCTCTGCTAGATGCTGGGATATGAAAGTGATCAAGACAGATATGGACCCTGCCCATGTGGTGAACAAACCCTATGGAAGAGATACATAATTAACTGTTAGCAAATGAATAAAAGCTGTGCTATGTTGGGTAATAACCATGGAATGGGAGGCAGAGACTTCTTTAGATAAGGTGGTGTGGGAAGCCTTCAGAAGTGCTGTGTAGGGTGAAAGATGAAGTTAAGAAGGAACGTGGCTTGTGAGGAGCTGGAGGGTAAGGGGACGTTTCAGGCAAAAGTAACCACAAGTGCAGAGGTCCAAGGTAGGAAAGAGCTTGGAATATTCTCATAGGATGACGAGACCTGTGTAGCAAGAGGTCAACCCCTTAAGATGAAGTTGGAATAGGAAGAAGAGACCAGATTTTGCAGGACTTTGTAAAACATTGGAAGCAAATTAGGACTGTTAAGCAAAAGTTGGTCAGGGTCATTTCTCCATCCATCCATCCCTTTGATGGTTTGGAAGAGAAAAGATTAGGATTCAGTGGTAGTAGGAGAAGGGGTGGAGCAGGAAGCTGGAGGACAGTTAGGAGGCTACTGAAGTTATCCAGACAAGAAATAGGAATGCCTTTGACTACAGACATGAAAGTGGGGAAGAGTGGGTGGATCAAGATGTGTTTTGTAGGTAGAACAGATGGCACTTGCTGGTGGTTTTGACGTGCAGGATGAGAGACAGGAAGGAATGAAGGGTGGCTCCTCAGTCTCTGGCTTGACCAACTAGATAGCCAACATTTTCTGTGATGGGAAAAACGTGAGGAAGAAAAGCGTGTTTGAAACTCAAAGGATGATATTTAAAACCACGGGAATGAATTATTTCATCCAGGAGAGAATATGAGAAAAAATAGAACTTGGGAACTCAACATTTAGAAGGCAGGGAAATAAGAAAGAGCCAGCAAAAGAGATGTGAGAAAGAGCTACAGCAAATGCGGGGGTGGGGGGAGGGAAAGCTGAGAGATGATGAGTGTTTCAATGAGAAAGTGATGAACTTTCGAAAGCTTCTGAGAGCCCAGTAAGATGAGGATAGAAAACTGACCTTGGAAATTGACCAGATGGAGCTCATCAGAGACCTTGACAAGAAGAATTTTGATGGAATGTTGAGGACAGAATACAATTTGGGGTGAGTTCTAAGTGGAAAATTAAGAAAAGGAACGACCATAGAAGAAACATCACCTACTGTGACAAAAAGGATGATTTGTATCAAGTTATTTGGGAAGTTGGGGATATGTAGAGAGAGGGATTTATATCTTTATAAATTATTTCAACACCATCCTGGCTTATTTTAAATTTATATGTAGCATTTCTTCAATTATCAACTTAGAAAAATTGTTTTAACTTGATCACTTTTCTTAGTTGCTTCTCATTTTTTAAACATATAACCATTATTTCTAACCACTTTCCTACCTTAAAATACATTCCAGAGAGCTTGGAGGGACGTTAGAATAAACACATAAGTTACAATTTCCACAAACATCAATGCTTTGAAAGACTTTCCGACATACTTCATACATACTAAGGGTGAAAACAGACCAAGAGATGATGAGTGTTTTAATGATGAAGTGATAAACAGAACTTAACATTCTGGTTCTTCCATCATACCACAGATTTCCCAATGCCAGATACTTGTTTAAGATAAACTAGATTTTGCAATGGGAGACGTATCTTGGAGGTGGAGAAGTCTGCTACTGTGTGTTCTTGTATATTACCATCAGATTTTTCTCTCGAATAAGTACTGTATTGATACCTTTTCCTCTAAAATAGAATTGATAGGTAAAAGTGAATCTGTTTGACCTTGCTTTATGCTTACAAAGTATCTCAGTCCCACTGCTGCCAACCTTGGGTTGACCGGGTCCTCTCGTGTTATTCCCCCTGAGTTCTAATAACAATCACAAAATATCACCTTGGCTATAAAACATCACCACTTGTTCCACTGAGCAGTGAGAGAGAGACAGTGGAGACAACACAGGGTTTGAAGTCAGAAGACCTGAGTGTGGGTCCCAGCTCATTTACTTACTATCCAGGTGAAGCAGGCAAGTTATTTTAACTCCGCTCCTCCTCAGTTTTCCTCATTCATAAAATGGGGATAATAAATAATACTTTCCTGACCATCCCACAAGGCAGTTAGCATCTTCAAATGTGAAAGCACTTTATAAACTATAAAAGGTTGGAACACTTGGTCGGTATTGTGGGGATATGAATAACAGTACACAAATTTTTGCTCTCTTGGACTCTAAAACTCTGCCACATTTTTTCCCACTCTCTGATTTTTAAGTCTTCACTGCTTTGTTTCCCAGCTCACCTCCCCACCCACCCCAGCTATCTTTAGGCTCTTTTCATTGAAATCTGCTTCATTTGGTCATTTCTTAGGTGGATCCTTGAAAGCTGCTAGTTCTGCTATACCTCTGTGTTAGAATTTAATTTTCATACAGTTAAATAGACGAGAGAGAACTTTGTTTGCAGGAGCGTATCCATTTTCTGTCCCATATTACACATCAACACAGGTGGCATCTGCTCCCATAAGAGGAAGCTATCTCTGGTGGTCTTCCAGGCTCCCATCCTTCATTCTTGCTCCTAAAATCTGGAGCCATTAGTGACATGTGTCCAGCAGCATTTCCAGTTCTTACTCAACACAGCTTTGCACTCAGAAACAAGCAGGGCAACATACGGCTGTCATGACCTTTGGCAACAGAGAACCCCTCAATGTGTGCAGCGGAAGGGCCTCCGACTCTGCTAGCTAACCGAACCTTTTTCATAAGATTTCACTATTTAATTTTCAAATGGAACACAAAGCTCATGACTAATGTTCTATAATCATTGCTTAAAACCAAGTGTTTCTATGCTTGAATTTTGCTCTATTAGGAAAGAATTTTGCTTAATGTATACTTACAAAAATGTCCTGCTGAGTCACAGTGCCAAGAAGGCGAAGATCCGGGAGCAGAATGGAAACAGTGACATTTAGTCTGGCGTACTGCAGCAGAGCGTGAAGCAGTACATTGGAGCCTGATTTTCATACGGCACGGTTAGGTGACAGGAGTGGCAGGGAGATGGCAAAGGAGGGCAGAGTTAAATGCCTGCCCACACACTCTCCTCCTCCCGGGTGTCACCAGGGCTAGGCTGGGCTCGGCTGACGCTGAGGACGAGAGCCAAGTCAGATCAACGTGCTGAGTTTCCGTTTAATAAAGCAATCTCCTCCTCACTGCTCTCCTTGATTGCACATGAAGACTGGATTCTCAGTCTTAAGCAGCTTGACCAAAATCAAATTATTTCAGAACATTTTAACTTTTTTTAAAAACAAAATCTTTCTTTTGGTATATCCACTTGTGTCTACTGAAACATGCTTTGGGGAGCTGGTTGCATAGGGAGGTTCTGGTTCTTTAGTAACAATGTTAACTCTAGCTGCAGAAATTTAGTCATATTTTCCAATAAACTACATTAGTGCTTTTCTGTCTCTCCTGATGTTCAACAGTTACAAGAATCTCTCACCTGTCTTGGATATGATTCCCTGTTAGGTTGTTGAACTTAAGACTGTATTGGAGATAGGAGAAGAGGAAAAAATAAAACAGAAGTTTATCCAAAGGTTTACATATTTTGTCCAACTGCCTGAATTTTACTGGTTTTTAATATTTATTAATTTTCCCTGTGTTTAATCCCCACTTCTCAAAAAAAAAAAGCCAAAATAAAAAAAATCTATATTGAAAACTTGCTTTGTTCTCTAAAAATTTGGAGGATTCTTACTACATTTATCAGATACCTCCTTCTCATACCTAATCAGTCTAAGAATCCAATGACTTCTTAGAGCAGATGCTAAGAATACCTTCCCTACACTAATATTATCATGTTAATTTTATTTTAATCATATGTCCTGATGTTATGAATGCATTTTTATCTATAACTACATTCAGGAACCGTTTAACAAGAGTCGGAGCCATAACGGAGCACTGGGCGAGATTTATGTCTACATCTACGCTTTGCTGGGGTGTGGACTATTTGTTGTTTCACTGAATTAGAATAAATACTTCAGTTGCTAAGGCTAGCAATTAGGACTTTCCTGTCATAGAGGAAATTTATGGGTGAGACTTACATAGGACTCTGGGGCTTAGTCAGAGGGCCAGATAGAATTTGGTAGAAATGAAGACCAGAGGTTGGTTAGGGGAAGGTCTTGAGATGGCTAGATGATTTTTCCTATGCGGCTTTTAATCGTTCGTGTCTATAAAGTAGTTTTGCTGTAGTAGATCTAAAGTCTCCTTCAAGATTGAAATTTTTGTGTGAATTTTCACAGAAAAGTTTCTCCTTACTGAAAAGTTAGAGTTAAGAGGTCAAGATGAGAAATACGCTGTATTTTTATATTCTTAGATTTTAAAGGAAGTTCAGAGTAAAAATGGAATAATGTGGATGGAATGGTTTGAAATCATAAAAATTTTGACATATTCTTATGTGAAGGAAATATAACACAAAGCAAGATTATTTTATTAAAAATAAAGGTTTTCATTTTATTTGAATGACTAAACATAACTTTATTGGTTTTTCTTCTTTTTAAAAAATATCTAACAGAGAAGAAAATCACGGTATTCAGACCTTGACTTTGAGGTAAGTTCTCACGAATTTTTTTATAAATTTAGTTATTTGAATTCAAGATTGATATATATAATTACTTAAACATAATACTCTGTGCAGCTATATAATGGTTCTATTTTTTTTGTTAAATGAGAAGTCAGACATTTTTGATTAAAATCCATACTGTTTAACTAGTTGTAGAAAAAAACTTTGAAATTCTAATTGCTTTAAATGTGGGCTAAACTGAGATTTCCCAGACAAGTAAGGAATCCATTTTCTAAATGCTAAGATAAATAGGCAATTTATGGTGAGGGTTGAACTTGGTCAGTTCAGCTTGTTGGGAGATGGGAATGTCGGTTTCTTGATTTTCATATTTAAAACAATTATATTTGTTTTACTTCAGTGACTTCCTGTGGAGAGCCTGTGAGGGCAATTTGGCTGGTTAGCTAGGCTCTCTCTGGCACTTATTTGCCTTGGGTCCTGATTCCTATTATTTAGATTCTCTGTGGTACATTCCAGATGCTTTTTTCCAATAGCAACTGTTGGTTCAGTGTGCTCCTGTGTTTGGTAAATGCCTTTTCACAGATATAAAAGATGAAGATGTTCATTTTCCCAATTTACATTGAATTTATATTGATGCTGTAATATCGATGCTAGAAATTACTGAAATCATACCACTTGAGCAGCTTATGCTAAGCACAAAGTTAATGCTATTTGAGCATCACATAAAATACACGTATGCATCTTGATAATTGGATGTGATTCATAGCCTGCTGACATAATTGGATATAATATTTATAAATTTCTCCCACATATTTGTACTGTTGTGATGCTTATGTAGAATTCAGTGCTCTTAGCTGGTATCCCTAACATTACAGAAGCCTCCCAGAACATGGAAATTCGTAATTCAGTCATTTCATTTATGTAGATGAATGCTGTAGCTCAGTAACATAATCAGGTGTCCAGGGTGAGACAATTGTTTTTATTTACAATGGTGAACAAGCTCTGGTTTTACCCTGAATAGAGTCTAAGGAAAACTGGTCTTTACAGCAATATTTCAGCAGTATTCGTACAAGATACAAAATAGTGATAAAGAATTTGGCCTCAAGGATTATGTGGCAAATTTTAGTAGTGGTGTGGCTCAATTGTAGCAACCTGGCATGGGATAAATATCTCATTATAGCCTAAGTTTTTAGGGTAAAATTATCGAGACTATAAATTCAAAGAGAAAATATTCAGCAATCTTCACTCTTAGATTCTTAGTGCCTTTTAAGGGACAGATATTTTAGTGTTTTGTTTTTTTTTTCCTATTAATTCTTCAGGTAGCCAAAAATAGAGGATCATACTGTATATATATTTTTGGTCCTGAGAGCAATAAGCTGTTATGTTAGTACAAGGGAGGTGGAGGTGGGAATTAACCCACCAGGCATCAGTGACAAAATATAGTAAAAACCTAGATCTAAAATTAAGCGTCAGCGCACCAACCAAAGTTATGTAATCACAAGCGCTGAAAAGAAATCTTACCACACTGTGTCATTTGGAGCGTTAGAAAACCTGTTCTTTTCTCGTATATTCTCTATGGCGACTGGAGCAGATTCCTTAAGCTGATACTTCTTCCTGTGCTTAGAATTCAACTTATAACATGGAATTATCAAAACATCTGCTGATAATGGAAAGAAGTTGCAACACAACCACTTGGATATTTTCTTCAGCTCTTTAATTGCTATAGTTATTGTGTGATTTCTACAGGCGTCAAAATTTGGGGGGAAAAATCTTTGAGATATTATGTTTTCTTATGAACCGTTTAGTACTACTCCCTTTGTCTATGTGCAACTACGGTTATGTGGCAGATATCTCATAAATCATGTTCAGAAAAATGATGGCCAGATTTAAACGCTAAAGGATTTTAATACAGTCTACTTGTACTTGGTGGATGGTCCTTGAGGAAGGGTCCAAGCTCTCCTCTCCCCCTTCGATTCAAGCTGGATAAATTGTATTTGTTTATGTCAAGCTTTCTAATAACCCTGCACCCCATCGCACAAGCTTTACCACACAGTGGCCACATAGGTATTTTGCCACTGACGGACAAACTGCCCCCTGGTCTCCTGAAAGCAGCTCCCTTCAGCCTTCAGGCCCCAGAGTCTATACATGATAACAGTGTTCTCTCAACTCCTATCTGTAAAACTCTGTGGCTAGTAAGTGTTATACCTGGGAGAAGCCCTTTCACGTGGCCGATCTACAAGACAAGATGGCGTTCCTGGAATAAACAGAGCGAAGGGTTTAGTGGTCATAAAATGGCGGAATACTGATTATTGCTTTCTGGAACATACACAGAGAGCACTGTAGGGATCATCCTGTGTTCCGTGACCACACCTCTGATTGGATTTGTATTCTCAGCTCCAAGCAGAGATCTGGTATATAGGAAGCATTTAATAAATTTTCTTGGAATGAATGATGAAAAATTGTATTTTTAAAATCTAGTTTATTTTAATAAAAAATTATCAAACACTCTATCTGAGTTGGGGCAAATACCAATATAGCAAATGGACAGCTCTGAAGGGAACACCTCAAAGATAGCCCACTGGACTTCAAAGATACCCACGTCATATGTAACTCAGGCGGCAGAAATGGCAGATAGCAATTCCAAGAGGGGGAAGAGGCGTGGAGGTTGGCTAAGGTGTGGCAGGCTCAAGAAACAAGAAGCCAAGTCAAAATTCACTAACATGGGGTCTATGGGAGAAAGGAGAGACAGAGGAAAGAATTTAGAAGCCGTATAGTGAAGGGCTTGCACCCTAAGGGGACAATTTTCATCTAATCTGTTACTAAAAGCTGCTAAGGCTTTTCTTTTATATTTTGTTTTGTTTTTTACTGAGGAATAATTTGCTCTGATCTGGGCTTTAGAAAGGTGAAAATGGCAGTAATAGGAAGGAGAGATTGTAGCAGGGTGAAATACAAATTAGGAAGCAATTAGTCCAAGAAAGAAGAAATGAGGGCCCACTTCCTAGAAGTGGTAGGAAAAGAAAGGGATGCAGGCTATCTGCAGAGTCAGGATCAGTGGGATTTGATCCTAACTGAACATTGGGTAAAGGGCAAGGGAGCTGAAAACGGTGACTGCAGGTCTAGCCTGGGTTTCTACTGGTACCATTAACAGATCTAGGAAAATCAAGGTGACACCTAGTTAGGATGAGTTGCTTTTTAATGCTTTGGGGATTAAGGTGCCTAATATGATGTTAAATCAGAAATATTAGGCAGGTAGTTTATATGGTCTGTCTGGGGTTGAGGACAAAGCTCAAGGAGTTCATAGGAATGCAATTACACACATCTATTCTGAAGCTGTAATAGCCATTATTATCCATTCCATGTTAAATACCTCTCTATCCATAGATTTTTAATCTTCTCTTCCAAAAACATGGGGATAAACTTTGTCACATTCTTCCCTGGGAACCACGTAGCCTCTTAAAAGCACATTAGAAAGTTCCTCTGAGGTTCCTAATGAGGAACACACATCCCATCCCACACATCCAGTAAACCCGTACTCTTCAAACCGGGGAGAGGTGATGGTGGACAGAGGGCACAGGAAGACAGATCCAGGATGATCATGGCCTGCCTTTGTGGGACTTGAATTTTTATTGGAAGATTTGGAGGAACACAGTCAAGTAAGATAAAATATTTTGTATTAATTTTATATCACTATGAACACAGCTAAGCTATGACATGGAAGATAAAATTTATATTAATTTCTGAATAGAAACCATAAAATTTCTAAGAAATGTCTTGTTCATGAGAGGCCCCTTCCTGCTTTGTCCCCACCCCCGGCAGTGAGTACATTCTGTCAGGCAACCAGCGCATTCGGGGAGGAAACATTTGAGTACCCCAGTCCTACACTGTATCCATCTCTTCTAGATTACTAAATTTAAACTGTTGCAAAATTATTTATTTGCAGCCAAGTATACTCTGGAGTGACAGTAACAAAACAAAAAATGCATATCTTCATTCAGTTTTTTCAAACTCGTTGTCTAGTTTCTTTTAAGCCCTGGGTACATATTTATTCAAATAGAAACATGTTTGTAACATAAATAGACACCATAGTGTCCGGCAGCTCAAGTGGCTAAAAGTTCTGTTACAGATATATTGACTCTGGCCAAGGAAAGGTACATGGACCATTCCCTTCCTGCCATCCGGCTCTAATAGCCAAGTTTGTTTCTGCAATGTGCCTTGCTTCCTTCCCATGAGTTTTGACATTCACTTCAGACTCGTACCCAATAGCCCACTCTTGATGGAGGACTCACGTGCAGAGCAGTAGAGAAGAAGAAAAATAACCATAGGTTTGTACTAGTAAATATGGACAATGGCAGTAGAGGTGTATGAACTCCCATAGCTGGAAAAGGTAATTCAGGCAGAGTGGTTCCTAATTCCTGTCAGCACATGATTTCCAGGCCCCATGATCTAAAGTTCATAGTCGGGAAATTCTGCAACTTTTTCTGACAATTTCTCAGTTTCTAAAAGTCCATAGAAGATAACCCCTATCTTATCTGTAAGTCAGACTCAAATCCCAACTCTATGATTCACACTTCTGAATTTAAAAGAGAAAACCTTCAGTTTGTTTCAAACCTACATACAGGCCCCTTATAAGCCACTTGTGTGGAAAATAAGGGAGTACAACGGGGTCAGAAGGGGAGGCAGAGTTCCATCTGGGGCCAATAAAATGAGCCTTCCTTCCAGTGGGGAGACCTTTTGACTAGGAAAGAAGTCAGGGTTTAGGGTGGCCTTCCATGCTGCAGGCACCTTCCCTGGCCGATAGCCCTGTGCCATTTCATTCATTTAATTTATTCCATACACATTTATCAAGCACCCGCTGAATGCCGAACACTGTGCTAGGTGTCAGGGATCCAACAAGCGGCCCATGAGGTGTTCAGAAACAAGATACGGAGACCAGCCCTTCAGGAGATAGTCAGAGAACTACAGGATGGTTGCAGGGTGGTCAATACCCACAGAGTGCATGGGCTCACACGGAAGGCCCCTAACCCACCCCACGTGGTTTTATCGTTTCTTCCATCTGAATAGGACGTAATCACAAACTTGAATCTTCTAAAGGAGGAAGCTCCCTGAACCTAGAGGATACATCTAAGACAACGGCATGCAAAGGGAAGTGACTTTGGGTTCAGAATGAATTCCTGCTCCCTCACCTCCTGTGTGAGCTTGGGGGCTTTCCTTACCCTCCTGAGCTCCAGCCTCCTAGTCAGCAAAGGGACAGAATGACTCCTACCTCCCAGAGCTATTGTGAGGATTAAGAAAGATAATAATGGCCAACATTCCTTGAGTGGCTCTTATCTCTGTGCTCCACTGATAAGTGACTCATATCCCTTTTTAAATCTTCAAAACAACGCTGTTTTTGCAAGGTTATTCTGATAACTGAAACAGGTGAAAGGGATTTTGTGCCCCAGACCACACAACTTGAAAGTGATGGAACTGAGATCTGAATCCAAGTTTGTCTAGACTCAGAGCTATTGACTTTGACGCATCCTAGTATTTAATCCAGAGGACTGCCTGGGATACAGTAGGTGCTCAAGACATACAGGTTCTTTATATCCTGGTTTTTCTCAGATATCTGAAATGTCATGAAAGTGCTTTACAACTTATCATGTTTTCACTAATATCAATAATTAAAAGGCTGCAAAGACTGCCTCCCTCGAGTTACAAAGATATAAACTGGAAGATAAGAGCCTTACGAAATAAGCTCTTCAGGAGACCACGTCTCTGTGCAGTTAGGTCGCTGGTCCTCTTGGGGTGGGGGTTCATACACAGCTTCAAACACTGTTGAGTGATCATAATCTGAGTGGAAGGGAGCATTACCAAACATTTATCTTTATTGCAAAAGAGGCCTATAATATTTGACAGGCATTATAACTAGAGGAACCAGAATTTTGTATATATTACCAATTAGAATATATTATTATAAAATCTTTACAAGGTTTTATAAAATTGAGTTCTAAACTAAGTTTTTCACGGAAGTCAATTTCTTTGGGACGCAGAATGTTTGTCACAGAAGAAAGAAAATGGTAAACAGATAAACCCTAAGGGCAGCAAAAATCCAAAAATAGCCATTAAAGTGGACCACTAAGATTTATAAGCATGAAAATTTCTAATTAGGTGGTTAAGACAATCAAAGGCATGAGTGCTGCAAATAAATAATTATTCAGACAAGTAAAGAAATAAGAGGAAACCCTTATTACTTGTGAAAACTAAAACCACAGCTAAGTTTTTATCCCAGAACGTCACTGGGTTAGAAACTCGCCAGTATTCGCTGTGATACTGGCTTTCTTGTCAATGGAAACTTCCTCATTAAAAAATGAAAGGTGCATTGAGTCTGTGAACAGGAAGGAATCATGTATGGAGAATAAAACTGAGCCCATGACAGATGCATGAGCTATTGATTGGCAGCTCTAACATGGTACTTCTGTCAGAGCCTGCAGACCATCATTGCTGTGGTGATTTCTGGCTGTGCCAAGGTGGCAATTTCAAATTAGAATGATTATCTGGCATGAGGATGTATTTGCAATTAAAGTTTCTAGGTAGGAAGGGCCCCAGATTTCAGCATCCACATTTTTCATTTGTTTCCGTAATTATTTCAGAGTTCTTGAGCTTTATTATTCAGCGTTGCTTTCGTTAAACTATGTAGAACAGTGCAAAATGCTTTTTGGTTGTATAACCTTGATGTCCACCGTATTTCTGAGTATGTCCTAGCAATCCAACTCCTTACAGTAAAATCCACCCAGTTCAGAATCAGCTGCTGCCCATTCAATATGATTATACAAACTCCAATCAGTTAATGTATCCTTATTTCCATGGGATATATTTGACACTTTCTTTGCTTCGTTAAACATACTTTATCCAACAGAGATACCAGGTTGCAAGAGGCAAAGAGTGACTTTGACTAACAAACAAAGGAGAACTTTGTTAGAAGGATATGGAAAAATTAACGTTGTGGCCGGGGGATGGTAGGGACCTCAGCTGACATTTCCAACAACATGAGAAGGTATAGCTCCCAATGCAAAGTCTGGATCCTCTCATGAGATGAAAGATAAATGGAGACTGCACAGACAAAATCATCACAGCCCACCTTAAAACAAGGGAGCTGTGCCAGTAACATCAACTGTCAGAAGAAAATGAGTTCCTTGTCTTTGGAAAAGAATGATGTCATTGAGGAAAGGGGATTCGGGCATAAGATTAAAAATTGTACTAGAAATTCTCTGAATTTTAGAAATTGGAGGAAAGAAAACAAGATGCAAGAATAACTGATTTGAGAATTTTCATCTTAAACATGAATATGTAACAATTTGGGAATCAGCCTCACTTGGATTTATCTTAGCAAATTCCTTATCACTTGCTCCATAACAGCACCATTTGTTTTCCTTATCAGAGTTCTAATTGAACATATATTTGCATGATTATGTAAATACTGCCTATGTGCTCCCTTATAACTCAAGCTATAAGAGAGCAGCCACTCTATGGGATTTTTCACACCCTTGTTACCCCAGCATCTAACACAATATGTGGTGCTCATGAATATGTATTAACTGACAGAATGAAATATCTTTAGAGAAATGTCAGTAGTGCAACATCGCTCCTACCGCACCCTAGCAGAAAGGAACTGCATAGTAAGATTCATTATCATGGAAAACACTATTTGTAAGTTAAAGCCAGAGTGAATATTCTGACGACTGCATTTTTTTAAAAAGGTATTCCATGTAACACAAATCCATATTTTGATCAATGTCTTAGGACCTGGTACTGCGTGGGAATATTTGCCTCCCCAAGGATAGAACGTATTGCATTATATTTGCCAGCTATGTGGTCCCCAAAATCCCTCCATTGAGGTGCTTCTGCTAATCCTACCTCCCATAAATCTCCATCAGCCGTCAGTAGTCAAATTGTATGTGCCTGGTGTTTCTCTGTAAATCCTGCAAATCTGTTTCCTGTACTCTCCCCAAAACTGATGAGAAGTTAATTGCTCTATAATTGCTTGCTATGTTTCGTGTCCCCATCATGAGTAATGTTGCCATGTTCTCATCCTCAACCACCTGATTCATCAACAGCCAACTCCTAGAGCTAAGAAGAGCAAAGATGAAAATAATCTGCTTATAGTAAGATGTAAAATGGGAGAATTCTCTCAAAGAAAAGTAGGCTAATGAAAATAGAAGAAATTAGCTAAACAAAGTATTCCCTAAAGACAGATTCATTAAATATAGGCAATGAAAGTTAGCATAAGAGAGAAAAAGGTTTTTAAAAATATGTTAAAGATTCAATTTGCATTTCTCTTTTGCCTTTTTTTCTCAAGGAGACGGTGTTCTCCACAAGTGTCTTTTTTAGAAGAAAATTAAGCATTATAGCTCTTCCCCTAAAGATATATTTATTTTTTAAAACAAATCCTTACTTTTGAAAATATTTGGGAATTAACACAATAGACCAAATGTTCAAGTCATAGCTTCGGCATGAATATAATATACCTATGCAGTCCATGCGAGTGATGGTGAGTTATGAAGCACATGCTTAAAAATCCTATAAAATATTATGCAAACATGAAGGCACAATCTTGCACAATCACTGAAATGTTGATTTGTAACTTTTGAAAATCAAAATTGAGGAAGGCATTTTCTCCTTTAAAATAACACTCGAAAATGCAGGGGATTTATTATCTAACTCCTCTTTATTAGTGCTCTGTTAAATGCTCTGTAATAGAAAAATATTCAGCCCACAATACTTCCCCACCATCATTTTTATTTATGACTCTGTTTGTTGCATTATGATGAAGTTGGGAGAAAAGGGCATAACCAGGGATGAAGAGTATTAATATATTTGTATCTGTGGTTTTAGAAGCTTATCAACCACACAATTTATGCTCTGAATCCTAACTGTTAAGATTCTGTACCATCTCGTAAACAAATATGAAACCTGTGGGTCAGATTTTCCTTCTGGAAGCTCACTCATTATTCACATGGAAAGTAAGATTTCAGATCTCACATATATTTCAGACACTTTAGTGCCTTGAGTCAGCCTTAATGGCAGAACCTGGGATTTTTGCTTCCCCTTTAGTACAGCCAGCTAGGATTTTAGTGTTTATAGAAATAAAACATAAAGAAATAATATTCCCATGACAAGCATTGAGAGACTTGGGTGCTTTACAAGTCCAAATTTTTAAACATTTTTTTTATCTTGTAACAGTTTTTGTAAAACAGCTCTAAATTTGAATGATGAAAATCTTACACAGGAATGACTGCTACATTTTTAATGCACCGACAAGAGAAAACTACTTTTTGGTAATTTTGTAAGTGGAAGAAAAAGCCAATTCTTCATGTTCAAGAAGTGCTGACTGTGAGACAAGGATTTGGTGCAACTCACTAGCATTTGTGACATCCTTTGGGACCTCCTGGTTCCTGCCAAACTTGATTTCCCTTATTAGTAAAGCAAAAATATTAAATCTCCTTTTTTAATGCATAAATCAAATTGGAAATGAGAGCCATCCCGTTCTCTTTTGCAGAAGGTCATGCATACTAGGAAGAGGCATATGGAACTGTTTCAGGAGCTAAATCAGAAATTTCAAACTTTGGACAGATTTCGGGATATACCAAATACAAGCAGCATGGTGAGTATGCTTCGCTTCATCGGTGCCTGACCCCACACTAACGATGTGTCACGTCAGCTATCGTCCCTGCCCTCCAAGAGCTCCTCATTGTCTTGGGAGCACAAGAGTGGCATACGTAGAAAAAAATAGTAACCCCCAAAATGTACTTTGGAATGTACCAAGAGGCAAATTAGAAATGACAGAATCTTTAAGCATTTCCATTCATATTCCAAATGTTCTCATTTATAAGCTTTAATTGGAATTAGTTGTATATCAAAAATGTGTCGGCTTCACTTGGCCCTTTTGTCATCAGTTAAAAGTTGGTTAGTTCAAATATCCAAATAGTTGACTAAATTTTTCCATTTCCATTTGAATGCCTGGCATTTTAAGGTCATAAAATGGCTCCTTCCATATAAATAAATAAATAAATACACACACACACACACACACACACACACACACACACACAGAGAGAGAGAGAGAGAGAGAGAGGGAGGGAGATAGAGGTGCTTTTGTTACCTGAAACCAAAGTGGTAGGTTTGTCTCCAGGAGATTCACTTGTTTTATGACAAGAGTTTTGGGAAATACAATCAACGTCGGGGGCTCTGATTGTTGACTATGAACATTCTCTTCTCATTCATTCATATTCACACTGCTACAATCCTAGCACAGGACTTCATCAAATAAAATGATAGTCTGCAGTTACTATGCATGGCACAGGCATGGCTCCAGAAAAGGCTACATAATTATTTGTGAGAGCACTGGACCAGGAGTCCAGAAATCAGTTTACTAGCAGAAAGCTCAACCAAGAACTATCTGATCTTGAGCAAGTTACCCAGCTCAGGTTTCTAAACCTCAATTTTCTCCTTCCAAATCGAGCGTAGAACATAGTAATTAATTTATGCTTCCTTCCATTCTCACAACACTTTCCAAGGAGGGTAGAGCACTTGAGAGGTTAATAAGAAGCTGAGGCTCAGCTATAAGAGACAGAGCTGGGACTGCCCTCTGACACCACTCTTCTTCACGCTAAAGGTAGTGTTTGGAGTGTATCCACTCTGCCTCACACCCTTGCAGCCCTTGGATGGACCCCTCCTCCTAACATCTGGGGTTCTGATCTATATGTCGCTCTAAGGTACGTGGTGTTTGATCACCTTCAAACTCTAGTGATTCTTCCATACCTGTGGTATGAGTCTTAGTCCTGGCTTCTGGTTGGTAACATTAGCTCACCAAGAACAAGAATTTATGTGTCCCTATGTTTGTCTGTCTCCTTCTCAGCATGAGTACAATGCTGGTCATGGTAAGTTATCAGTAAGTGGCTGCTCTTGATTTATGCATGTCTCTGATAGTTCAATCTGTGTTTATTAAGTGAAGATTATAAGAAATACTATGCACTTTAACTCCTAATTGGTCTATAAATAGTTCACGTGTATATCAGTCTATTTCCCTCTTTACAGTGGGAATGGTGTGTTACTTGTTATCACCAACACAATGCCAGGCATATAGAAGACACTTACATGTAGTGAGTGGTTCTTTCTCATCTACTCTTCCAAACATTAAGCTGTCAATTTTTAGTTAGCAGGCAAATGAGAATTGCACCATTGAGATTAGACCTAAACACATTAGCTACTCATTTTGGAATATTGAAAGCTAACATTGAAATAAATTGAAGAAACTTCATTTGTTTAAAAAAAAAATGGAGACGGTTATGTTTACAATCTGAAAGACTTAATGCAACAGATACAGCTGGCTGCCTGCTATGTTATGATAGTAATTTCCCCTTGTTGTATGGTCTGGATAGTAAATCATTAATGGCACAAATATCTGTATCCCAGTTTCCTGACAACCAAAATAGTCTGCTAATTATACCACATCTCTGCAGCAGCATGCTTTTTCTAGAAAAGATTTATAAATTTCTATCATTTGGGAAGTTAGGAATGGAGAGGATAGAGTTGTCATTGCTGCTTGACTATTGTCCTAAATATCTGAGAACAGAAAAAAAAAAAAGGAGTTCCTTATTTAGTTTTGATTAATAACAAACATGTGAGTGAGTTCATTATCCTTAATTGTCATATAATTCATAGTGGCACATTGCTAATGAAAAATTACATAATTGGGTAAAGACATTTTCGAAACAAAAATGTCCGTAGTCTTTTTTCTTTTTTTTTCTGGCTACTAACTCACAACACCTGCCTAGTGCTGCAAATGATAGTGATTATGTTGAATTTGGGGGATCAAAAGGAAACCAGAAGACCATGTAATCCATTTCCCTGCTTGCATGCAGGACAACATTTAAATCCCACCACAAGGAAAAGGCATTGTTAAAAGAACTTTTTACTCTAAATGTGTCTCACCACCTATTCTCCATCAAGATCTCTTTCCCTCAGGGAGCTTCTGCAAATTCTTGCTCTTTTAGAATATAGAATAAACATATTCTCTCTCACTTTGTCACCAATATTAGTAGGTTGGAAGAAGGGAGGAAAGAAAGAAGAGAGGGAGGAACTTATCCATGGAGACAACTGGCCTGCCCCTGGACGCACAAGCCCTGGGAAACGCTCAGCAGCCCTGCCATGTTTGGGTGGCTCTGAATTCTCATATTCAGCTAGCATTCTATTTGTATTTGTACAGCCTAAGACCAAATAGCATTTTGGAAGCTTCATGCATGTTGGCTCAAGCTGAGTTTATAATTTACTAGGCCTTTATCACACATGCTTCAGTTTAACTACATCTAGTCCGTTCTGCACTTGAGCTCAAAAAATAAACAAAACCACCTGCATAAATTCAGGAACTTGTACTAACTCTGATCAAACTTTATACCATAAGGTTCAGACCTCCACTGAAGCCTTTCCTGGCCCCTGTAGCTCTCACGGTCAAGTTCAATGATCCCTTTGGGCTGTTCCAGTTTATCATTCCCTGGGACCACTGAGAATGTTACACCTCTTCATGCAAGAGTCCGCCGACTCCCCTCTTGTCACACCCAACCACCTAGGAAGAGGGGTAGCTTGTGGGCACCAGCCCTCCTCACCCGCTGCGGGTCCTGTCCTCACTCTGACTGCTCAGTGCAGAAGTTCCTCACCACTAAAGGAGCAGGAGGCTCTGATCCCAAAGGTGTGCACACATTTGAGAACAACGATGAGACCCACAGTCCAGCTGGGAGGACAGCAGGATGCCGGAGGAGGTGGAGAAGAAAGCCAACCTTATTAATTAATTTACTACCCATGAACAGAACCTCTCAGAAATCCAATCAGCCATGTACTGGCAATAATATTTTTTGACATTAGAATCTAGACACTCTGACAGTTTAAAATTGGCCATTTTAGTTCATGTATCCGTGGTGCTTGATCTTCAAAATATAAAAAGGAAATCACACCTGTTCCAAACATAATGTAACCCCTGTTTTCAAAGCACTACGGCTTTACATATGTGAATCCTTGTGGGCTTGAACTAATTGTACTTTCTGTCAAACTAAGGATTCCAGGAGCTCCTGTAGACAGCCCTTGTCCAAGACGGATAAGGCCCTCTACGGTTTATTCAGCGGAATTCACGCCAGTGCCCCTTGCAGTTGATGACTGATGAGTCGGGTCACTGCAGTGCCCCCAGACGGTCAACCATTCCTGTTGCCTACAAAACAAATTCCCAACTGAGTAGCCTGGCATACGAATACCCTTCTGATCTGGCTTTGAGTTCACCTTCCGCCTGTCTTTTCTGCTGTTCTTTTTCACTCCGACTAAAATAAACTGGTCATGTTCTCAGAGTTGTCCCATCGCCGTGCTCTCTGGACTTTTGCTTCTTGGTACACATGCCTGTTCAGCCACCCGATCTCCAACCACACACATGTCTGTGTGACCAAGCCCATCCTTCTTTGCCAGCCCTGAGGTCACTTTTCTTGGAGAAGTTTATGTGCTTCCACAAAAGAAAGCCATATCTCCACCCTCCTCCGACCTCCCACCACACTGTCCTGGACCACAGACATAGATATATTTTTATACCTCCATTTAACTGTTAACGCCTTCATAATAAGTATGATTACCATATAGTGAGCATTTATTAAGTACCAAGCATTATGCTAGACCCCTTCTCTTCTATTTTTGCGACCCTACCAAGTAGGTAACGATCTACATATTTTGCCAATTTCTTTGGCCCACAATACAAAGCATATCTCTGCTCTGCAAATATTAAAGTTGAGGGTCAGGGAAATTGAGTAAATTGCTCAAGGTCACATTCATAAGAAATGGAGCGACTGGAGTTTGGACCTGCGTGTATCAGGCTTTAAATCTTGTGCTCCCTGGGGGACCAGGCTGCTTTTCCTGTTTGATTTATCACCTTATTCTCCCTAGTGCCTAACATGATGCCCAGCACAGAGCAGCTGATGAATAAATGTTGGTTAAAGGGAGGAGAGCGGAAAGAGAGGAGGGAGAAGGAAGAGGAGAGTTACAGGCCTATATCCATGAGACTTCAGGATATTAGACTAAATCAGAATTAATCCTCTGCATATATCCTAAAGGTTAACTTTTTATTAAATCTTTACTTTTAGCTGTTTTTTTCTTGTAAGTCCTCATGATTAAGTCTAGTAAGTGCTGAAAATATCTAATATATTGAGGATTTTAATAATTTAATTTCTAGTTGTGATAAGTATTTCTATGAATTGTCTCTTGCTTATCCATACTTGAGAATGATTCTTAATACTAAGTGGAACCCAGATAATAATTCAAGTGCGTGTTTTGTGTCCCCCTGCTAATTGATTATAGTCAACTGAAGGCTGGAATTTGGGGTGGGGGAGGGAGTAAAGGATACTTTCAACAACTAATAGTTGTTTTAATTTTTTCTAAGGAGATTTCAGTCATGATGTTCTTCTTTTTCTTTAGTGTTACTCAACTTAGTCCATACTATTCAAATTCCCTCATTTCACAGAAATCTTTAAACAACAAGTATTTAAAGTAAAACAAGTTCACTGCTAAACCTTAGCCAGATATTAGGCAATAGAAACCTCAAATGGTGTCTCTTCATTCATGGAGCACCTGTAACATGGAGGGCCTGGGTGGAGTCAAAATGAGGCAGATCTTAAACCTTAGGTGATAAGAGCATGTGTACTATGAAACATAAGAAGGAAGGGTGGCTTATAGACATTTTTTTAAAACCCCTTATATTGCTGGATATATTTTTTAAAAAACTGTGTTCTTTGAAGGGAAGAATGCTTGTTGCTAAATTAGTGTGCCACCCAAATACGTAGAAAATTGTGGGGGGGCCGTCCCTGTGGCTTAGCGGTTAAGTGCGCGCGCTCTGCTACTGGCGGCCTGGGGTTCGGATCCCTGGTTCAGATGCCAGGTGCACACCGATGCACCGCTTGTCTGGCCATGCTGAGGCGGCATCCCACATACAGCAACTAGAAGGATGTGCAACTATGACATACAACTATCTACTGGAGCTTTGGGGAGAAAAAGGGAAAAAAAGGAGGAGGATTAGCAATAAATGTTAGCTTAGGGCCAGTCTTCCTCAGCAAAAAGAGGAGGACTGGCATGGATGTTAACTCAGGGCTGATCTTCCTCACACACACAAAAAAAATTGTGGGGAATGTCCAGCAGAAAAAACAGACTACACAAGGGAACATAGCAGCATTTAATATTCTAAAAAGGATAATATCTTGAAGAAAAACTAAGCAAAGATGGTGATTTAAGATTCCATTTTATGAAATATAGTCAGTTTGGGTAACTTTATTATTACATAACATGCCTCATTTACATATCCTCATATTTTTGTTTATCCCAAAGATTCTGCCAAAATACTTAAATTTCCTACATTTAATCTTAGCGATAATTTAACAGCCACACTGGCATTTCACAAGATGCCCAAAACAAAGCATCATCTACTTTGCCTTCCATAAGACTATTCACTTCCTTTGATTGCCGGAAAACTTAAGGATAACTGAGAAAAGGTGTTCATCAGTGTGTTCAATGAAGGAAAACTGAAATCAAAACCATTTCCTACAGCTGGCCACAATTTCAAATCATCTCTGAATCCTATAAACTGGGTTAAGGTTACAAACGTCCTCTCTCCCTGGAAACTTCAACACGCAGCCGTCCCAGTCCTCAAATAAATGATTCTTTTCCTCTCTCTTCCCAACAGGAAAACCCAGCACCAAACAAGAATCCATGGGACACTTTCAAAAACCCCAGTGAATACCAACATTACACCACAATCAATGTCTTAGATACAGAGGCAAAGGATGCTTTGGAATTGCGGCCAGCGGAGTGGGAGAAGTGTCTGAATTTGCCTCTGGATGTGCAAGAGGGGGACTTTCAGACGGAAGTCTAACAAAATTGAAAGGGACTGAGGTAGAGGCAGTCATTGCACTGACACTCGAGACTCGGGGAGCCTGCCATTACTATCTGGACAGTGTGGCTCTCTTGTGTCAGGACCTTCGCGTGCCAAATGTCAGCGGTGTTTGCGTTGGGCGACTTCTCACCAGTCGGGCTGGTGGAGAGGGACCCGGTGTACAGTTCTGACCACCCTGTGTTGTAAGTACCCGTGGAATGGATTTGTAAGGTAATCTTTATAGATAAACCTCAAGCAACGAATCATGTTGTAACCGCTTCATATGGTTTAGTTTTCAAAAAACTTCACCATGAAGCACAATGTATATATTTATGCAGTTTTTAAAGTTTATAACAGTCTGTTTGGCCATTACTACACTTTTTACTTTATAATATAAAAGCAAAGTTTTTGTCATTAAATGAATGTTTGTTGAGCTACATTCTTCATTGCTTTAAATGCAATAAAGTAATAATCTCACTTTTATATGAATAATATATTTCACATCTTTATTATTGCAGTTTTCTCTAGAAAGCTCTGAGGGCTTTCTCTGCTGCAGCTGTGTATAAAATATTTAAAATGTTGTATGGTGTAAATAAACTTTTGTCTACATATCAGGTTTTTAGTGCATTTTATTTTGGATTTGTTGAATGGAAATTTACATATTTATAAAGTTTTTTTCAATACAGATACTGAAAATGTATTCACGGTTTTAATGGCATACCGTGATTTCCCCTTTGAGGCTAATGATTTCTGAGATGTAGTAGTGGGTTTGTACAGTGCTTCTGTATTTTCTACTCAGACACATTTGGAACAAGGTACCATGTAAATGGGGCTCGTCAGAATCTGCCACCATCACACTCTTAAATAAATATTATGTTTTTTCTATCTTGTGGCAAAAAGACAACTAGTGGAAAATAGTAAATTATCATACAAAAAGTAATACAGGGAAAATGTTTTTATGCTCAGTAATGAAGTTCACTGCACGTTTCATGAAAAAAACCACTTGTATTGCAGTTCTTCATGGCATACAAAAAAACCGAACTTAGGATTTTAAAAATCTGTATATTCTCTAGCAGAAGGAAAGCGAGGAGGTGTATTTGGTGGATGCTTTATCTCTGGTTTGAAATTTGTGAAGCCTGAGGCGAGCGGCCTGCAAAACCATCCCCCTTGTCCCCTCTGGTGTCAGAGCCACAGGCGGTGTCTCCCGCCCTCAGAGCTGCACTAACGGGGATGCGGGGAGGGATCTCAGCAACTTCCTCATCCTTTCCCGGGAGGCGAGACTGTGGGTCTCAGTCAGAGGAAGGTCAAGGGAGTGGACAGGAGACTGGGGGCGTCAAAATTCTAGAAGGTTTAGTTAGATGACTGTGTTGTTAAACCTAAGCCGCGTGGTCCTCTGTGGTCCGTCAGAATCTCAAGTGAGGGGGCTCCCGCTGCCCGTGACCTTGGGTCCCCTGCAGCCTCCGAGGGGGACACAGGGGCTTCAGCACTCAGCACCCCAGTGCGTGCACCGGGCTGGAGCCTGCACACGCTCGGCTCGGGCTGAACACCTGTCAGACAACTACCATGTTCTCAACACAAAGACGGCACAGGTATATTTTTAATCAGATTGTGAAAATGAAAGTGACATCATTATGCAAAAAATTTAACGTAACTAAGGACTGATTTTCAATAAAATAAACCTCATGCTAATTATAATTTAATTGCAATATTAAATGCCTTTTAAATTTATCAGACAACTTTCTGGTGATAGAAATGACATTTAGTAAACTTCTCTTTCATTTCTCTCTCTCTCTCTACATGCACATACACAAACACATACACGTATATACGTGTGTGTGTATGTATGTATATATTTTTATATATATATCTATGTATTTGCATATAAATCCATATGCTCAGCTCCATCTAGTAACCTATAGAGTGAATGAGAACCATACATGCAGTTCTTTGTTCCAAATTGTAAAATCTTTATGGAAAAAAACACAATAAGCATATGTTTGAAAACAAATTCTATGTTTAAAAAACAAATTCAAAATATTAGACTAACATTCCTTTCAAACTGTAATATTCACTGCCATAAGATGAAAATCTTACATTTTTTTCGCTTCTGTTTTTCTCTAGTTCTAATAATTCAATGTTAGATTAACATGTAAAAGTTACCCAGAAGTTGCATGCTTAAATGTGAGGGTCAACCTTTTGGTTACTCTGGGAAGGATGTCAAGGTGCGGTGGTGCTTTGTGTGTTTTAATCTATAAGAAAAACAATGCAGGCCAATAGGTATCGAGGGATCATAATTTTCAGGAAGCTCTCTTCTTGTCCCTCCTTTTAAACTTCCACTGTACTTACACACCCACACCCACCCACCCACACACACACGTTCTGCCAAAGCTGAGTTGTGCCTTCCCCTTAGACAGTCCCGAGCACTTCCCTCCGAGCCCCTGCGCTCACGACCTGCAGCGTCTTTGTGTCGTTGGCCTGGAAGTACCTCCCCTTCCTCCACATCCCGATTTTACTTATGCTTCAAGGTACACCTCGTATTTCATCTTCACTAACTTTTTAATGATTTTCCAAGTGAGAAATAATTTCTCCTGTGAACTCTTGTGCCACTGCTTCTGTACCTCTCTTAAAACTTTTACAGTCTTCTCTCTTGTTATTTATACACATTTCTGATATCCTCTGGTGGACTGTAAGTGCCTGGAGGGCAGGATTCATGTCTGATCCATTTCTGTATCTCTTAAAGGGACCTAGCACAATAACGTTCACACAATAAACATTGGTTGAATTATTTGTGGAATTTATTTTAGTATTGCATACAGTCATCCATGCATACCAAGGCACACATTCAGAAGTGTTTATCAAACAGCTATGGGACTATAGGACGCTTGTTTTAGGTAGCTCACAATCAATTAAAGATATAAGATATGTATGTGAAACAAGTAATAATATTTAAACATTAATAAGTTCCTATTACCCTATATTATCTTTTTGTCCTCAAGATTACCACAAGAGGCAGGAATTAGTTATCCTAAAGAAGTGGAGGCTCAGAAGAGGTTAAGTGACCTGCCTAAGATCACCATAAATAAATGTCAGATCCAATCTTAGAGCCCAGGTCTTCTGACTTCTCCTCTGGGGCCATTCCCAGGACACTGTGCTGTTTCTGCTTGTTCCTTCTAGATTAATAAGTCCCCAGATCTAATAATGAATGACAAGTTCCATGGAGATGTTTTTCAGGCAAGTAGTAGAGGCATAATACTGAAAGCATGCATCAACTCTCATGGGGGTGGTAAGGCCAGTAGCTGACCCAAAATTACAGGTGATTGCAAATATATTTGGTTCTATAATCCATTGTGTGGTTCTAATTGCACCTACTTTACTTTTCAAATCCTCTTAAAATGTAGTTAATATTTCATTAGTTTTGTGATTACCTGCACATATGCAACAGGAGACAGAAGAGAGAAGCCAACCTGCATTTCACATTGGTTTCAGACACTCTGTAAAAACATACGGTCACAATAAAAAAAAAAATTGTGGTCAATAAACCATTGCTTCAGAAATTTAGTTTCTAAATTTTGAATCATTCTCAGCTTCTTAGAAAAACTGTATTAGTTTTCCAGAGTTACCTATGTCAAAATCAATTCATTAAATTCTATAAATTTGTAATTCTTCATTGAAGAATGTGAATCAAATATGTCTCTAGCATGTCAATCTATGCAAAGTTTTCCATGATGACAAAGTCATCTTGCCCCTGAGGCACTTCTGTAGTTCGGTTTGTCACTGGAGTAGTACAGCAGGAAAGAGAAGTAAGAACCAAGAACCATAGACTGTAGAGAGAAGAAATTTTGGTGGCCAATGAAAATGGCAGTCATTTTTAGGTGTCAAAAAATGAATCCAGATGTAGGTAAGGAGAGACTTTACTTGAAAAGACGATTGCAATAGGGAGAATGCTCCACCGGAAGATCTACAAGCAGCTCAGACATCAGGCAGAGAGGGCTTTTCCTTTTCAGGGGAGAGTCAACAAGACTAGAAGGAACCGCATGGGGAAGAGTGGGATGGGCAGGTGTGTGAGCAGGTGGCCGAAGAGGAAATGCCTGTCTTGGCAGCCAGCCAGTTCTGGAGGAGATGGTCAGGGAAGGTTGTTCCACCGCCAGCGCACGGTTCACCTCCCTATACTTCTTTAAATCCCAGGGTGGGCCAAATGTCAGGGTCCTGGGGAAAGCAAGATGCCTAACTAAAGTTTGGTCAAGTTAAGTTAGCAAGTATTTTGTTCAGATGGTCAGTGGGGACAAACAGTTCAGCTAGTGATTTCTGAGACAAAGAACACGAATTTGGAGGGTCTGTGTCTGACTTTGCCAAAAATAAACAAGAGGTTTGTCTCAGAGTCTTATGTTAAGCAGGCTCAGAAGGCTGGTTCCTTGCCGTAAGTGGTCTCCTGGAACACAAATGGGTGGGGGATTCCTTGACCAACACTGTCTTCCAAGGGCGTAGGGCTCAGGTAAAGTTCAACATTGTCACGGGGGGAGAAACTAAGCCCACTGGAATAAGAAGAATTTTTCAAAAATTGTCAATATTCAGCCGGTAGTATTAAGAGAAAGGATTTTCTTATATTAGACAATAGCCATGGCTCTTTAAGCAAAAATAATTCCACAGTGAAAGTGGAAAATATTACAAGCTAGGTGAGAACACCTAATTTCCTTTAATTCATCTCTTGGTTTGGACTCCTGCTTGTACCTTTATACCATACAACTTGCTGGTACTGAAATGCTGGTTCAGAAATATTTATCTTTCTAAAATATAAAAAAATGGCACTTTGACTTATAACCAAGTGCTTAAACTATCATTAATATGAGTCAGTGTCTACAGACTTGGCACCCAGGTGTCAAAGCAAAAATTACCCCGGGCAAAGTTACACAGGCAGGGAAGACTTAATTCAAGACTATTGCAGTAGGGGAGAGAGGCCAGAACTCAGTCTGAACTTGACTCCGCTCAGACAGACGGCTGGAACGTTTTTAAGAGCTGGGATGGGGGGATTGTAGGCCATCTGTGTTTGCTGTTTGGCCTTGCCCCAAAGAAATGTAAACATTCTTATGTCTTTATGACAGGAGGTAGCTCTACACTTGAGCAAGGTGCCTGCTGAAGTTAGGCTCCTTCCTGCCCACAGAACCTAGGAGACAGGTATGCACAGTAACTTCCTTGATGACGGCATTTCAAGACATGGCTCAGGTCCTCAGGAAAGACACTCCTGGGCAGGAAAACTGGCAAGAAGCTTTTAAAAAGATTTACATCTCAAAGAGGCAAATAAAGAATTTACAAGTTTTCCAAAGTAAATTCTCTAAGAAAAGGCAGGTCAGGAGCCGTGAGTCAAGGAGAAGCCTGTCTGAAGTTCACTTAAGCTGAGTGGAATATTAAGGCATTCTTGGTCACAGGTGCTTACAGCTAAAAACCAGGTAAATTGACAAGACTCATCCATGAGCTTAATCCACTGGAGTACAGTCACCTCAAACCACCCACCAGAATCACCTAGCTTTTCCTCCCTTTACCTAAAGACAGTTCATTGTGAAAATGACTCTTCGGGTAGCAACCACCTGTGTAAAAGGCCTAAAACCCTCATG